AGCCCCGCTGGGCCAGGCTTATTTATGAGCTGTTTCCCCAGTGGGGTCATCTGGTGTTTATGCAGTGCCGCTCCTCTTAATAAGGGTGACTGCCATGGAGCGTTGCGTGAGGCACTCGACATACATACGTGCACTGACAACGAGTTGGCATCATCCTCACGTCTCACGTGGGGAAACAGCAGGTTAAAAGTAACTTACCTGAAATGGCAAGGTTTGGTGAGAAGTAGAGCAGGAAGCGTCCTAGAGGGTGGGACCTCGAAGTCTGTGCTCTTGAAGGCAACACCCGCCGCCTCTTTTAAGACGCTCTCCCCTAATGGGCAGAAAGGCATATAGGAGCACAGTAGTTCCCTCAAATGAGAATCATCTGGGGAGCTTGTTCCCTGAACCACCCAAACCCCTACCCTGGAGGTTCTGACTCAGTGGGCCCAGAAATTGGCTTGTTAACAAGGGATCCAGTGATTCCTATAATCAGAGAACTATGGGAATGACCTTAGACCAGGGGTCAGCAAAGGAAAGGGCCAGAGAGTATTTCTGGTTTTGTAGGCCCAAAGGTTTCTGTCACAACTTCTCAGCACAAAACCAGCCAGTGGTGCCCTAGCTGGTTTGGTTCGGTGGCTAGAGTGTTGGCTTGCAGACGGAAGGGTCCTGGGTTCGATTCTGGTCAAGGGCACATACATGCCCAGGTTACGGGCTCAATCCCCAGCGTGGGGCGGGGCATGCAGGAGGCAGCTGATCCATGATTCTCTCTCATCATTGATGTTTCTATCTCTCTTCCCCTCTCCCTTACTCTCTGAAATCAATAAGAATATATTGGGGGGAAAAATAAAGCAGCCAGCAGCAATGCAGAAATGAATGGGCCTGGCTATGGTCCAACACTTTACTTACAGAAAAGAGGGGGCTGGCTATGGTTTGCTGGCTCCTTTCTTAGACCATTCATAATACCATGAAACAAAGAGACACTAATGCTGCTACTTGCCACCTTATTAAGGCTATGCCTTAATCGTGAAATTGGTCTGATGAAAATCTCCCCAATACCATGAAGCAGCACTCTCACCAAGGAATAGAGTGAAGGTGCCGAAACCGGTTTAGCTCAGTGGATAGAGTGTCGGCCTGAGGACTTAAAGGTCCCAGGTTCGATTCAGGTCAAGGGCATGTACCTTGGTTGTGGGCACATCCCCAGTGGGGGGTGTGCAAGAGGCAGCTGATCAATGATTCTTTCTCATCGATGTTTCTAACTCTCTATTCCTCTCTCTTCCTCTCTGTAAAAAATCAATAAATTTTTTTTTTTTTTTTTTTTTTTTTTTTTTTTAAGGAATAGAGTGAAGGTTGTATCTTCCCTCCCTCTTCCGGGAGCAGCACTTTCCGTTTCAGATGCAGGTTTGGGACCTTCCCGGTCTGCGCTACTCAGGACGCAGGGAGGACATGAGGAGGTCAAGCACAGGCAGATGAGCAAAGTTTTCCCCTCAGCTTGTTGGTGAAGGCGCCAGGCGGAATTCTAAGGCGACCTCCACGATTGCCATCCTCCAGCGAGCGAATACACGCTTTGTTCCCATTATCAATCACTCATTCATTTAAGTCCTACTCTGCAGGGATTTTGCAGATGTAATTTAAGTCCCAAATCAGTAGCCCTTAAGAGAGGGAAACTCTCCTGACAGGCCTGATCAAACCAATTGAGCTCTTTAAACCTGAGCGTGGAAGTCAGAGGCAGGAACTGAAAGCAGAATGAGGAGGAATCAATCTGGGGAGAGTCTCCATCGCTGGTTTTGGCGATGGAGGTGCCATGTGGCAAAAAAAGTGGTGTCCTCTAGGAACTGGGAGCTCCCAGCAAGAAAAGTGTCCTCAGTCCTCCAGCCATAAAGAAGCAAGTTCTTCCAGCAACTGAGCCCCAGGGGAGCACCCGCTGTGGCTAATACCTTGACATCAGCTGATATAACCCCACCTCACACAGTTTATAATCCCGTGTCCCCTTAAAATATCTCCCAGTGCAGGATACAGAGGTGGGGAGGGCTGGAGGGAACAAAGAGCTTGACTTAACACAGTGCAATTTCTATTGGCATCGGCTTCAAGCAGCCTTTTAACAGAGATGTTTAATTGATCTTTATTGAGCAGGACCTTCCCTTCTGCTTATAAAAGGAATGATTACTCTTTCCCCCCCCCCTCCCCAGTTCTGTCTGAGGAAGTTAATAGCCCCAGTTTTCTCTCATGGCAGAGATACTTAATGGCCGGGAGACTATCATAAATAGAGTTTATTGTCCAAAATACAAGCCACGTTCTAATCAACCTTTGCGCTGAGATTGCTTTGCTTGTGTCTGTTGATTTTTAGAGGGGCTTTTCCCAGCTGACAATTGCATTTTTCTTGCCACCCGGTCTGCTGTCCAATTAACAAATGCCGTTAGCAAACTAATCTATAGGCCTTTGCCAAAGACTCTTGAGGATGCCGTTAATGTGTATCGATTAGATCCTCCTGTGCAGTAGTTTCTAGACAGGCCGAGGGCTCAGCCTTAACCGTCTGCACACACTGTACAAGGATATCTGACAGGTAAGAAGACGGTCATTGTAATACCTCCAGGATTCAGTTAGGATAGAGCTACCGCTTGATAGTGATTGAGAGGAAAAGGAATACTTTCCAAGTTACGTTGGTTCATCTTTTAAAAAGGCTTTATTGATATTAGCATTACTCCTTGAAATAACCTTGGAACACAAACAGATATTTCCATTTTACAGCTAGGATATTTTGTGTTCAATATTCCTACTAGCATGCTATTTGAGGAATAGATTTGGCAGTAAACTAGAGGCTAGTACTTGCTGCTATTATTTGGGGATTTGTTCTCAAGTTATGGATTTTCTGGATCTTTTTTTCTTTCTCTCTTTCCTTCTTTTGGCTCCTGTCACCTGCCACTGCCTCGCCACTCCTCCAAGTTACCTACCATCTTGGCATAGTAGGCACCGTAGCCATAATGTTTCTAAGCTAAATTTTGAAATCTGTTTTATGAAAAATACAAGCGTTCTTAGGTAGAAAAAGGGATCAAATTTTGAAACCATGATTTTCTAGAAGAATCTGAGATATATGATCACTCCAATAATGTGGTTCTACCATATTCACAAATGGCTAATAAAGGTGTGTGGAGGGAATTAGCTACCATAATTAGACACAGTTAATAGAAATGTAACTAACACAGGTATAATGTCTTGGCTTATGGTCTCACCTTGAATGTGATGGGAAAGGAAGGAGGCTTTATGCCTGTGAAGTTGCCCTCCTCCCCAGTATTATTGAGATATAGTTGACACACAATATGTAAAAAAAAAATAAAAATAAATAGTTTTATGTATGTGTATATTGTTTGGGGTTTTTTTTGTTTGTTTTTTGTTTTTTTGTTTTTTAAATATATTTTTATTGATTTTGTACAGAGAGGAAGGGAGAGAGATAGAGAGTTAGAAACATCGATGAGAGAGAGTCATCGATCAGCTGCCTCTTGCACACCCCCTACTGGGGATACGCCCGCAACCAAGGAACATGCCCTTGACCAGAACCGAACCCGGGACCCTTCAGTCCCCAAGCCGACGCTCTATCCATTGAGCCAAACCGGTCTCGGCTGTATGTTTATATTGTTAAATGCTTGCCACAATAAATTTGGTTAACATCCATCCTTCACATAGTGACAATATATTTCCTTGTGATGAGAACTTTGAAAATCTACTCTCTTCACAAAACTTTCAAGGATATACAGTACAGCACAGTTAAGTAGAGTTGCCACACCCTGCATTATATCCCCAGGACTTATGTATCTCATAACTGGGAATTTGTACCTTTTGACTCCCCCTTCACCCATTCCCCACTCTACTCCTGCCACACTAATCTGTTCTGTTTCTATTCAAGTTTTTTTGTTTTGTCTTGTTTTGTTTTAGATTCCACATATAAGTGAGATCATACAATGCTAGTCTTTTTCTGATGTATTTCACTAGTGTAATGCCCTCCAGATTCACTTGGCTTATTTGTTTGTGTATTTGTTAGTTTATTTATTCATTGATACTAGAGAGAGAGAAAGGAAAGGAGAAAGAGAGAGAAAGAAACACCGATGTGATGTATGCACCCTGACTGGAGATCAAACCGACAACCTTTTGGTGCATGGGACAATGTTCCAACCAGCTGAGCTACCCGGCCAGAACTATTTTGAGGGTTTTCAAAGGCTGGGAGTTTAGGGGAGGTCTTAGAGAAAGATATCAATAGAATATTCATCAGCTTTATACTGATGCACCAAAATGAGATTTATTCCTTTACTGTAACTTCATCTGTCCTAAGGTTGTCAAATGGCACTAATTGGATTTCTGCTCTCTATCTCCGAGTAGGGCGATTTAAGCTATTTACCCTCTGGTTCCGGAGAAGTATAAGAAGTGTCCTTGGTTACTCCTAAGTGTCCTTGGTTGGGGAGGATAGGATTTTGCGATTTACCAGATGTCTGTAAACTGCTTGGCCATCTACCTCTCTGCCTCAGTTTCTCTATTCCACTTGTCCTGGCTTGCTAGCCTGTCTCACTCTGAGATACTATAAGGAACCCAAGGGCTGACTACACCATCACTGTTCAAGCTTCCTGATCTCAGCTGGGTGTGAGGCTTGAAACTCACCTCTCTCCCCCCTGAGGTGAAGATTATGAAAATAAGACCCGTGCTGATTTTTCTGATTTTCTGGTCCAATCATGAATGTGGCAGGCATGAGGGGCTAAAAGTATTTTTTTTTTCCCTTCCTCATTGCTGAAGCAACAGATAAAACCATTTTATAGTCCGTTCCCTTACCCCTACGCAGGCTGTATTAATTAGAAAATAAAGCAGTGACAGGGTGCGCGTTAATGAGCTATTAATGCCTGCAGTGGGTGCCCAGCGCGGCCTGGAGCTAAAGGCCAAGCGATTTCCACCGCCCGGAAGGCGCACTAATAGCCAATTAAAGTCCATCCTGGATGGCCCCTGTCTCCTGGCCGGGAGTTCTTCCCATTTAAGAAGCTGTGGTGAAGGGCTTCTGTCGGGAGTGGCCCACGGAGGGCAGCTTGATTGCTCTGTGCGCGGAATCGACATCAAGAGATTTCCGAAACGTGATTTTTGTGTGTCTGAGCAGCTGGTGATCATTGGTCCTGATGCCCACTAAGAAATAAAAAATTGTGATGTTTCCGCTGAAACCGGTTTGGCTCAGTGGATAGAGCGTCGGCCTGCAGACTGAAAGGTCCCAGGTTCGATTCCGGTCAAGGGCATATACGTTGGTTGCAGGCACATCCCCAGTAGGGTTTGTGCAGTAGGCAGTTGATCGATGTTTCTCTCCCATCGATGTTTCTAGCTCTCTATCTCTCTCCCTTCCTCTCTATAAAAAATCAATAAAATATATATATTTTGACGTTTCCAAGTAAGCAGAGGTTTGTTTTAGTGTGTGTTCCATCTCTCTTCTTCCAATAATAGGTGAGTCCACCCACAGACCAAGGGGAGGGTCCGAAGGGAAGGCCCGGCATGACAGGTGATGGGATGGACACACCTTCAGAGCAGTCCTTTGACCCTGTTTGCTGGAGGCAAGAAGCCTCTAGTGGGGAGTTATTTGCCCATTTCTTCCCTGTGCGTCTAAGCTGCAGGGAGGGAAGGAAGCTGACGTTTTTTGTTGGAGCTTTTGTTTTAGAAACAGACCCTGTCTTCTAACTATGCCTGTCTCCTAACAAAAACAAGAGCTAAGCTCCAGTGCTGTTGTAGGCATCCATCTATTATCTCATGCACGGGGAGGGACCCTAGTTATTCCCACGCTGCTGACGGAGAAACAGTCACAGAGAGGTTCCATAGTTTTTCCCAGATCACACATCTGGAGGGTGGGAGAGTCCGTTTTAAAACCAGAAGTCTGCCGAGACCGGTTTGGCTCAATGGATAGAGCGTCGGCTTGGGGACTGAAGGGTCCCGGGTTCTATTCCGGTCAAGGGCATGTACCTTGGTTGCGGGCATATCCCCAGTAGGGGGTGTGCAAGAGGCAGCTGATCGATGACTCTCTCATCGATGTTTCTAACTCTCTATCTCTCCCTTCCTCTCTGTACAAAATCAATAAAATATATTTAAAAATATATATATATTAAAAAAAAAATAATAAAAAAAAATAAAACCAGAAGTCTACCTTCAATTCCAGTTGCCTGGAACTGGACTCACAGCCTACAGGTCTCTTCTGCTTACCTTGACCTGGTGGGACAGGCCCCTTGTCTGAGAGGGAAGTAGGTGAGAGTATTTACATTGCAGATGTTTTCTCCCCACTGGGGCAGATGTCTTGCTTTTCCAGGAGGCCGGGAGAAAGGTACAGGGTGGAGCCTTGCTCCTTGCAGTTTACAGACATCTGATAAATTGCAAAATCCTATCTTCCCTAACCAAGGGCACTTACGAGTATTCCAAGTGTGGCCCACAACCCAGCAGCACTGTACAATCTGAGAGCTTGTTCAAAATACGGAATCCAGGCCCCACCCCAGAACTATGAATCAGAACCTGCCTTTTAACAAGATCTGCAGGAGAGACAAAGGCACATTAACGTTTGAGAAACATCACGCTGGAGTTCCGGTGTCCCATCCTCTGGGTCATGCTGTTCTCTGTAACTAGTTAAGAGGAAGCAAAGACTCAGTCTATACCTGCTCGGCCTCAGCCACCTGGATATCACACAAGCTCATTTAATCCTCCCTAGAGCCTGCCAAGGAGATGGAGGGTTGGAGTGGTCCAGCACCCAAGCTTCTGTAAAACATGATCAATGCACATTCGAGCCAGAGACCCCTCAAGAAGGCCCCTGGACACAGGACAGACCATAGCAACTCAAACAGTGGGTCCGGAGGGTGGGCCACGGTCTGTTCTACAGACACCACAGCAGAGCCCAAGGTGAGAAGTGAATTCTGATTGTGGAGTCTCTCCATTTTGAGATTTAAAGAAAAGAAAAAATCTGGTTAAATTTAAAGGGGAAAAAAGTCTGGTTAAAACAGTCCTCCCAGGGAGTAAAGAGAGGGCTTCTCCAGGCCCGTTCTGGACTTAGAATTTAATGCCTGTTCACCGAGAACCGCTCGGTGCATTTGCTCGGTGCTATATCAAGATGGGGTTGTTCTCCAGGCCCTTAAAGCTTATAATCTAAAAAGGCCCCAGAAATGGGTGAGGGGAAAATAAACAAAAAAAAACAAAAACAAAAAAAACGGCAGAACAATGCAGCAGCCTTAATCAGACCGTCTTTGCTTTTCTTTGCCTATAAGACACTGGCTTTAAATTTAATATAGTGCTGTGTCTTTATTTTTCTTGAGGTTTTCTTAAAAGATCATGTCAAGATTTTCTTCCATGGTAAGACTTTTATATTGTATTTTTCTTAAAATGGAGTATGGTACATTTACCCTCCATCAGATGATCCCTTACAGCTCGTCTTGCTTTATTGAGAAGACTGCTAGAGGCTTCCATGCCCCTAGTAATAAAAAATGTATGTTCGGGCCCATTCAAACCAATGAAAACCTGAGTTTTCAAAGCACAAGATAATGAAAATTCTCTAGATCGGTGTCTTTTACAACTTTTAATCTGTTAACGGAGCCCGAGTGTCTCCGATGAAAGGCACTCCAGCGTGAATTGCTATTGTTAATAGCATTCCATACAGGTAACTCTTGATTATTCCAATTTCTCACAAATTTGGACACTTTTACTGCCTCTATAACCTCTCTAGGGAGTGTGAAAGAAAAGAAAACCTATACGATTTATTCCTCAAAATGTACACAGAAGTATAATTGCACCTACATACAGGGAAACCTTATAAATAATGTATGAGGACAGTGTGATGTCAGTAATAAAACCACCCATTTAAAGATGACACTTGTCACTGCTTGTCCCTTCACCAAAATGGATTGGGGATTTGGGGGGACCACCAGACCAGACATGGAGATTTATAGGCTACCTGGGATGTTTGAGCCGAAACCCGTTTGGCTCAGTGGATAGAGCGTCAGCCTGCGGACTGAAGGGTCCCAGGTTCAATTCTGGTCAAGGTCATGTACCTTGGTTTCGGGCACATCCCCAGTAAGGTTGTGCAAGAGGCAGCTGATCGATGTTTCTCTCTCATCGATGTTTCTGACTCTATCCCTCTCCCTTCCTCTCTGTAACCAATCAATAAAATATATTTAAAAAAACAAACCCATGACCTTTAAAAAAAAAAATGGTTTGTAAGCACCTCCTTGAAGGCGGCAGTCGTCTTTCTTCCCAAAGAATCGCAAACGTGGCTCAGATAGCGGCCTTGTATGTAGCCTCCCTCATCTCTCGCACTGTGACTTCGTAGCTTCTCCTGCCAGAAGGTGGAGTCCCTTTCTCCAGCCTTGAAACTGGGTTCACACGGACTGGCCTCGGCCCGCAGAAATGACGGTGTCCCCGTTAGGAATTGCACCTCGAGGCCCCCTGCACTAAATATCTGTTCTTAAGCTGCAGTGTCCTTTTGGAGCCCCCAAGGTGCATTGGCTCAGCCCTAGCTCCGGATGTCTTATATCCTCAGCCCCTTTCTATCTCTGAGGCTCTCCTGCATGTGGGGTCTCTGACTCTCTCCTATATGCAGGGTTCCCATATTAAGTGTGTATTAAATTTGCTTATTTTCTCTGGCAAAAAAAAAAAAAAAGGATGTATAACTGGAAATGATTTTTTTTTTAATATCTTTACTGATTTCAGAGAGGAAAGGAGAGGGAGATAGAAACATCAATGATGAGAGAGAATTATTGATCGGCTGCCTCCTTCACACACCCTACAAGGGATTGAGCCTGCAACCGGGCATGTGCCCTTGACCGGAATCAAACCTGTGACTCTCCAGTCCACAGGCTGACACTCTATTCACTGAGCCAAACCCACTAAGGCTGGAAATGATTAGTTAATGCTTTCAGCCTGCACAAAGCTAACAGACTAGTGTCAGCTGGTCTGGGGGCTGCTCTGGCTCCGTTTCCAGAGTCTTTCCCACAGCTATAAAGCTGGCGCTCCTGCTCCAGGAGTTAAAACAGTGGAAAAGACCAGAGGGTGGTGCCAGGGATGACCAAATATCTTATTCTCTTTTACCTTAAATTTTGCTGTTTGCCGACCCATTACCCAAGGGCTAGGTAGGTGACAAATACTAAAGATGCGGGCAAGGTGGAATAAAAGCGAATGAAGGCATGCCATCCAAAGAGGCAGCCTCGACTGGTTCCAGACATTGAGGCCAGGCTGGAATGCCAGCCCAAATTTTCTACCCCTTCAAGAAAAGATGGGCATCAAGATGTTAGTACTTAATCTCACAATTGTTAATGTGTCCATAAGTTTTGGATGGTTCAAACAAAACAACACTGGGTTTAGTTTTTCCAAGTCTACAGTGGAATGAACATGTAACTCGGGGCAGAAACCCTTCACCTCACAAACCTCAGGCAGTTGTTGATTCAACTTCCCATGTCTTTAGTTGAAATCAGTGCCAAAGATGCTCTGCAGGACCCAGGGAGGGATTTGCTAATTTGCTCTGGGGTGAAATATCAATATCAATCAAGCATAAATGTAAATTACTTCCCCATGCTACCAACATAGTCATCTACCTGTTCGAAGTATTTTTGATTGATTGATTTTTAGAGAGAGAAGTGGGGGATGAGAGAGAGAAACATTGATTTGTTGTTCCACGTATTTATGCATTCATTGGTAGCTTTTTGTGTGCCCTGACCGGGGGTCAGACCTGCAACCTTGGCATCTCAGAACACTCTAACCAACTGAGCTACCCAGCCAGAGACACAGTCACCTATATGTTTATCAAATATCACATATTACTTATATGTTTAACACTCAAAGTACAAAATCATACTTTCCCCCAAGGGAGGCCCAGCATTGTCAATGTTCTCACACACTAAAAGCCTAACTATAGGACTTTGGTGTACGTAAAGTTTTTCTTATATGCCAAGTCCCCTATTTTCTTCAAAAATCCAATTTACATCCTTGGAACTTCAGATACAAGCTCTTGTTTTTGTCACATCAAATGAACTACTTTATTTTAAAAAAATTCAATAATTCTATGCTCACTACTAGCTTCTCTCTCTATCTCTCTGATCAAGTTTTGCCATCCATTCTGGAATAATTCAGAGGTAATTAAAACTTCTTCCCTTTTTTAGCCCCCCCCCCAAAAGCCAATTTATCACACATTGTCATGGATTCTGATTTTAAATTACCACAAGCACAATTACCGATAGAGACAAGGAATCGTCTTTCCAATTAAAGTGACTGATTTCTTTGCAGACCCAGATGCATTTCATTTTTAATTATGTTCATTCTGATCAAATGTGAGAAAATTCTTCATTTATTTTCCTTCCAAAGAACATGATACAACCAACATTAATCATGGAGTGATACAAGGCTGATGCCTTGGGCAGAATTGGATATCTAGCAATGGGTCTTGTCCATTTTATGGATCTTAGTGGCCCCTTCAGCTCTAAAGGAAGGAAACAATTATTTGTTACATCACATATGGTAGTTCACCTAAGGGCTTGGCAAACCTTCCAGCTTCAGCTAAGTTAGATATTGAGATAGACTCATGGGGGGATGAAGACTAAGGCACATAACATAATTTCATTTCTTATGCAAAGAACAGAACCTCAATGTTAGAGACGAAGCAGTACCTGGAAAAAACGTAAGGAACATGGGAACAATTCTTTTTCTCACTTGGATGACATTAGTATGATTATGAGTTGTCAATAACTTTGAGAGGAAAATCACACTTCAATTCCAGTTAAGGGGAAGAAGTACAAATTGGAGGACCTGAAAGGAATACAAGGCCATCACCTTACACAGGTTCCCCAAGGCACAGCTTATCTACCATGTATAATCTTAATGGAAGACTAGCTGGTTCTGGCTCCCATTGCAGCCTGCTGAACCAGGAGCCCCCTTATCTCCCCTCTACCTTCCCTCGTGTCAGCAGACTGGCTGGCATCAGTTCATTCACTTGAGATGTACAAAGGTCAAGGTTTTCACTTAATAAGTACCTTACAGCAATCTGTATCCAAACAGGGACTACCCTTCGTATTTGGATGGATGCAGTTGCTGACCATTTTCCAAAGGCTTTCACAGATTTATGAGTCTGGAAGTCCTCCACGATTTGAAATTTACTCATTCAACCAGTCACATCTAATCATTTTAGTGGGAAATTAAATTGTATATTTAAGCTTTTGAAAATTAAAAAAAAAAAAAAAAAATCCATACATGAGATTTAGAACTCTGCCTTTTCCTCCAGGCTGTTTACAAAACTCAGAAAGACCAACCTGACAGGTGTAAGACTTTTCTTTCACTAAACAGTCGTTGAGTGCCTCCTCAGGGCAAGGCAGGATGCCAGATGGCAAAAGAGAAACATGGCTCCCTCCTTGCTGCTCTGGTGGAGAAAACAGATAAGCAGACACCCAGTCCAGTCAAGAACAGAATGAAGGTACTACAATGGGATAAAAGGGAAAAGAGCATCGTTCTGAGAGAGGACACACAGTCGGGAGGTGGACAGGTGTCTTGAAGATCGGTCTTGACGAGTGGGGGCAGGACCTCCAGGCTAATGTGTCACATGGGCAAATTCATGCTACATTCTAAGAACCATAAACAAAAGCTGCTGCGATTGCTGGGGTAAAAAGCCTGGAATTGATATCAAGAACGAGGGGAATTAATTGTCCAACTGGCTGGTGAAACATTCTGCTGAGAACCAACAGCAGAGCTGGTCATGGCAATGGGAATGGAAACAAGCGGAGTTTTAAGGAACTCGGGGCTGGTACAGACCACAAGGGCTTGCAACCATGAGATGGAAGGTTGAGGAAGAGGCTGACTCTATTTTATGGGAACACTTAGTTGGATCCCATGGACTGGCTGGCTTTTGCTAAACATTTATTGTGGTTATTCTTCTCATCCTGCATTGGGCCCTTGTAAATTTTTTACCATCCCTGAGATAAGTGGGGGGGATTATTTCAATCCTCCTTTAATAGATGAGAAAGCAAAGACTGGGAGGCTTAGCCCTGACTAGAGGGATGAGAAGATCAGTCCAGTCCTCATTACACAGTACAATGAAGCACACAGATAGCTCAACACCAGCCTACTGGCATGTTTGTGGCCCAAGTAAAACAGAGTTCATGGGACTTTACACCATGAGCTATGTTGGAAGGTGGTTTTGCTGATAATGTCCATTCCAAAAGCCAATGGAAAGCTAACACAGTGCACTGAATCATTAAAAAACAGAACAGAAAAGCCCTGGCCGGTGTGGCTCAATTGGTTGAATGTCATCCCATGCACCAAAGGGTCACAGGCTGCAGGCTCAATCTCCAGAAGGGGGTGTGCAGGAGGCAGCCAGTTGATGTTTCTTTCTCCTCTCCCTTCCTCTCGCTCTAAAATCAACTTAAAAAATAGATATTTTAAAAAAACGGATGCACTGAACTCAAGTCTTACACCTTTGGTTGAACTAAATTACATGCCCTCTCAGATGCTATTTTTAAACGCAAGTTTTCCCTTCATAAAGTTTTAAAAAAGAACAATTTTAATAGCAAGTGAAGAAATTCACTGACAAAGGTTTAGGTGTTTTAGGACTTTAATGTCCTTCACGTACTCAACATCAAATACTGACAATGGAAAAACAACAGGGGCAAGGATCTTCCAGAACGCACAGCATCACTCTGGTCAAACATAATTAACCACAACAGTCAAATGAACCAACGATAAGGGCATTTAAGATGTTTTAGTTTCACGGCATAACTGAAAAATAACCAGCCAACCTTCTCTTCCACCTAAATAAAAATGAATCGGGGAGCTTCTAAATCTTGTGAGGCAGCCTCCAAAGGTAGGAGGGAAGGGAGAAGACACAACTGTTGAAAACAGTCGAAACCGGTTTGGCTCAGTGGATAGAGCGTCGGTCTGTGGACTTAAAGGTCCCAGGTTCGATTCCGGGCATGTACATTGGTTGCGGGCGCATCCCCGGTGTAGAGTGTTCAGGAGGCAGCTGGTCGATGTTTCTAGCTCTCTATCTCTCTCCCTTCCTCTCTGTAAGAAATCAATAAAACATATTTTTTAAAAAACAACTGTTGAAAACACAATGCACAATGTCAAGGACGCTAAACAAATTCCCAAAGACCCTACGTAGATTACTAAGAACCGCATTATCAGAAATATAAAGGCATAGAGATATAAACTATTTGGGTATTAAAAACAGACTTTGCCATATAAACTTATGGTATGTCACTTTTATCTCTTTATGAGAATACAGTATTAATATCTTTAATTGGCCCTTTACCCTAGAATTCCTAAACACTCACTACGTGGTCAAGGTTGACCCGAATTAACCTCTGTGGAACCCAGGAGCCCCTACTGCTGCCATTTGGGGAGGGATCAAGATTCAGCACCTAGCAGACCCCACCCACCCTCAATGCTACGCACTCGTGTGTCTCCAGGAACATTAACTGCACTTTGTGTAAATCCACAGGCAAGTCTGAACACTGAGATCTAGCTAGAAAACATAGCAGCAAAGACAACATGAACATGGAATTGTTAGAAAAGCTAGCTAAAGAAAGGTTTTTTTAAATACTTCCAGATCAAGTCAAAATTAAGTTGTTTGTTACATCTCACCAGCTTTGCAGAACTGTGGATATTGTGCTGTTTGTTTGTTTGCTTTTTATGTGTGTGTTTTATTGTTGTTGTTTTTTGGGGGGGAGAATCTATAATAAGCATGTTCCTTTGAGAAAAATACCATGGTTACATTTTTTTAAGCCGTTAAGTTACTTTAAATGTGGGACATTGTTCAAGGGTAGAATATAAATTGGTTAGGATGTGTTCACAGCTGATGCGTCTCCAAAAATTTCTTCATGAAGGCTGCCAGCTCCTGAGCATCCTCGATCGTGACGGCATTGTACAGAGAGGCCCGGATGCCTCCCACAGACCTAGAAGGACCACCACCATTAACAAGAGCATCTAATAAAGACAAACCCTCTTCCCAGTCACTTCCACAGGTGGCTGGGAGCTTCTGACATTTAATCATTAGAAAATTCTCCCCAATGCATAGAAAGGTTTACTGACTCACACATAACCTAGCTCAACGGGAACAGGGAGCACGTGTCCTGCCTCTCATGTGGTGAGGACATGCGTTTTTCATAGAATCTGACATTCAGCGGGAGCACCAGTGATCTGCTCTTACCCCAATCGGGGACGGCAACCCCTAATCTATGAGATCCAATAAAGGGATTTAAGGGGAATTTTAACCAAAATATGTGGCTCTACCATGCTCTCAGCAAGGGAACTGTGAGAAGAGCTCTAGAAGCAACAGGAAAAAAGGTTTATCCCTGTGACAACTGGTTTTCCCAAGTTACAGTAACTGCTCCTCCAAGCTGGGCAGGTATTTCTTATTAAACCCATTCTCTGTCCAGGCTTCTGGCCTGGATGTGTACTCACCTGTGCCCTTTCAAGGAGATCATATTGAGCTCCAGGGACTTATCAAGGAATCTTTTCTCTAAAGCGTCGTCTCCTTTGGCGTTGCCAATTCGGAACGGAATATTCATCCTGCTTCTGTTCTGGGGCTCTACCGGACACCTGAGAAACACGAAGCACGTTCATTAGTACAGCAACTTTTCTAAAATGTGCAACTGGCCGAAGCCGGTTTGGCTCAGTGGTAGAGCGTCGGTCTGTGGACTGAAGGGTCCCAGGTTCGATTCCGGTCAAGGGCATGTACGTTGGTTGCGGGCACATCCCCGGTGGGGTATGTGCAAAAGGCAGCTGGTCGATGTTTCTCTCTCATCGACGTTTCTAGCTCTCTATCTCTCTCCCTTCCTCCTCTCTGTGAAATATCAATAAAATATATTTTAAAAAATAAATAATTAAAATAAAAATAAAAATAAATAAATAAAAAATAAAATGTGCAACTGCCATTTACAAAGGAACAGAAAAAAAAAGTTTAAACATTTTCTAGATGCAAACAGGGGATTTAAGGAAAAAGCTGTGCCCCAGGACATTTGTAATCTACTTAGGGAGACCCTCTAGCATAAGGAGCAGTGACTTAGCATTCTCCTGGATGATTTGTACCTAATTTCCATGAGTCTCCGTTGCCTCATCTGAATATTGGGAATAATAATACCTCCATTTCAGACTAGTTGTGACAGTTGGGTGTTACAACATGTATGAAGCTCTCAGTAGCCACACAGCAATGTGTGGCTTTCTCTACAAGGCTGCAGAGGGGGGGAAAAACAAAACAAAAAAAAAGAAGAAGAAAAAACTTGGCCCTCATAGTGTTTGAAAGACTCCAAAATATATAATGAGCAGCGGTTTTCTCAAAACACTTGTCACATTGCATTGTCTCAAGCTGTGTGACCTCGAGCAAGTTACTAACCTCTCTGTTGTACATCACTTTCCTCGTTGAACAATGGAAAGAGTAATGGAACCTCACATAAGGATAATGTGGCGATTAAGTGTATTTGCCAAAACTCCTTGGGATATACACATTTCTAAATTCACAGAGAGGTAAAATCCATCGACTTACACATAAAATCCTTCAGAATTATCAATGACATCATAAATCATCCGAGATTTGATGGAGCTGAGCTTCTCCATGGCTGCTGCACCGCCGTTGTTCTTAATCCACTCCAGGACCAAGCCCATGACATAGATGCTAAAATAAAGATTAAAACAACAACAACAAAACATGCATTTAGTTCTGGTCTACAAAAGTGGCAAGACATTCAAGCAAACGGTTAAGTTGTACCAAAACAGTCTGTAAGATGTCACTGGTCACTTAGCACAGAAAGGGGTGGCTCCAAGCCCCAGGAAGGACGGAGATTCCTTGGATCCTCCTGGACCCAAGGACACAAATCCCAACCCATCTGCTATTTCTGACCCTAGCTTCTCTCTGCTGGAATGGTGGCTTCCTATTTTCAGATGAGCATCCTTCTAATGTTCCCTGGGCGCTTGACCTCGTATCTCAGTTTCACCATCACCCTCCTGCCTCTTTCTCCTCACTCCCAATTCAGAAGATCCCAGGAAAGGCTCAGATTGGTCCATTAGGTCCCCCGCCCAACTATGAGACCAGAAGAGCAAGGAACCCTGCTGGATCTGCCTGTTGGCTGGGAAGGTGGAGGTGGGAAGAGCAGGGCAGTTAAAATGTCACACTTATCCACCAGAAGTTGGTTGGTCTCCCTGGTCCCGAGAGGACTAATCCTGAGGAATCTGTTAGTAAGTGGCAGCACTGGGTCTAGAGTCAGGATTGTGACACAGAGCCCATGCTCTTAGCACTAAGCCACACTGCCTCCTATCTGCTGGAGGGTCCTGGGTAGGCTCTGGGGTGGAAAAACTGAACACCTTTTGCACAAAGAAATCTATATATATATATAAAAGCCTAAGCGACTGTTGCAACCAGACAATAGCTATGACTCACCCTGACCATCAGGGGGCAGATGCTTAACTCAGGAGTGCATTCCCACAGCCAACCTCCCACAGTCCCTCCCCACAGCCCACTGGCCCCCATCGGCCCCCACAGGGACTGGGCAAGACGGCCCCAATAGGCCCCGACTGCTGGCCAGACTGAGGAGCCCCATCCATGCACAAATTCATACACTGGTCCTCTGGTATAAAATAAAAGAGCAAATGGTAAAAGCTGTACAGGAACTCTGGTAGTTCAGCAAGGGAAGGGTTAACTGGGTGGTCTGGGGCCAGAGGTTCTGAGGATGCTTGAGGTGGGAACTGAATGTCAGCAAGTGGAGGTAGGTAAGTGTGTCTTCTACTAAGGCTGCCTGTTTGCCAACTCCCTACCTCCACCTGCTGACATTATAAGGTTTGCATGAGGACGTGGACTGGACAGGTAGGGACTGATGTGACATCTGGTGAGGAGTCTAACGAGATCTCTTTCTGAATGGCTCTTCTAGGGCCTAGAATTGGGGTGATCTTGTCCTTGGTCTACACATGGCTCCCTTTCATCTTGCCTGTGTCCCAAGTGTTGTGAAGTTTGTATAAGGGCTCGGGCTGGACAGGTAGGGACTGATGTGACATCCCCCCAAACTGCTCTCTCTCCGCCAAGCCCAAACACACACATACACACACACACACACACCCAAGCAAAGCCACCTACAGGCCTGTTCACCAACAGTAGTTTTCTGAGGCCACAGTTCACTGTCACCTGCAGCTCTATTCTCCCAGGGTCCCCACAAACTAAGTGCATGTTTTTTGTTTTAATCCTCACAGTTCTACTAAAGGGTTAAACAGAATGAACAAGTGTTCTTTATTCTACCCCAATTCATCGCCCAGGGCTACTGGCAAGTATTTGAAGGCCAGTTACTAGCACAGTTTAAACAAACTTCCCAGGGCCTGTGGTCATTTGGCTCTGATTTTATAAGAAAAAAAAATAAAGCTTCTTTTCAAACTCGGACCTTTTCAAGGACTTCTATGTGACAGATAGTTCTGCAGTGTTCTGAGTGTCTTATCACCTTACATTCAGAGACGGGGGAAGGAGTTTTGCACAAATCTTCATGTCTCCGTCTAAGGAGTTTGTTCTCACTGGGTGAGCAACGATTTTCTAACATTGAACGCTTAAGCACTGCAAATGAACTCTACATTTTCCACGTTAGCGACTGAGAGTAATTGTTCAATTATACAGACTTTTACTTTGTTCTCTTCCTCTTCTTTTGGGGTAAGGGAAAGCAAAGCAACCTCCAAGAGTTGTCTTCGGGCAGAATACATATTTAAGCCAGTCTCTTTCATCTCCTACCTTTCCATGACTCTAATCAAACATTAACTATCCTGCCCCGAGCTGCCCAACTATCACTGTTCTGATCTGTCTGGGGGGAAATGTAGCCCCTTCTCTGCCCTTGTCTCTGGCTCAGCAGTCTCCTCAGGCAGGAAAGTTCCGGGAGGTAGTTCCTGGGGCCACTTTCCTGTCCCCACCCCATCGAAGGTCAAGGCCTGGGGCCATGACTGGAGGGGACCCTGTAACAAAGCTTCTGCTCTAGGACTTCCTCAGTATCTCCAGGTCTGATTCCAGACACTTTCACCTCCCATTAGGCAGATTGGCCCACTTTCTCACTATTCCTGCTCATTCCCCTTTAATATTAAACAGCGTATTAAAGTATTCATCCCATTTAAAAAATTTATTTCACACCATAACTGGTGGAGAAGATGCCAGCCGAGCGACAGCTCCCCTGCTCCTCCAGGCTGTGCTCTGATCAGAACTTGGCTGCTTTCAGGCCAATTTCAGGGGGGTGCTCCCCCAATCTCCCTCCACCTCCCACACAGCCAGCGGTGGCCCAGAAAGGATCACCTGACTGAGAGCCAGGCCCTGGCCCCACCTTCTATCAGGTAAGAGCACCTCCTGCCATTGTGGAACCTGGCATCTAAGCCCCTTCTCCGGGAGCCCTGCCCTTGAGGGTCCCCAGTTGTGCCTCCCCACTCAGCACACCCCGTTCTCACTTCCAGGTTGGCCAGGCAGCACTCTTCTTCCTCCACCTAGAACCCCAGAGGTGAGAGATAGATTCAGCATCCCCACTGAACACTGCCCGACCCGTAAGAGGTATGTTAGAAATACTTTCAACCAGGGGGAAACAGCGTGGGGTTTCCAGGCCACCAGGAGGGGTAGCACCAGAACACCCCTCCCCTCAGGACCACAGGGGACACCACACGAGGAGCTGCTCTGCCCCACGAGAGCGGGTGGAAAGCTGGCAGGGGCTCCATCAGAATCCTGACTTTGAAAACAACTCCTTCCTTTCTTTCCTAGGGCAGATCGTGTGGGGGAAATGTTCTACAGGCAGCATCTAGTGGGGAGACCTCTAAGGAAGTCCTCCTTTTATACACACTCTTAAAAAAAAAAAAAAAAAAACTCGCGCCCCACACAGATGGTATCCTTCAAACACAAACAAACCCACCCCGATGATTCTGTTTGCAAAGAATCTGAGGTTCAGGTTCCGGAGCCAGGCTGCCTGGGCTCAAACCCCAGCTATGCCACTTCCTAGACGTATGGCCTCGACTTCTTCACTTACAAAATGAGAATAATAATAAGAAGATCTGCCTAAGCTACTTGGGAGATTAAAGAGTCCTTCACATAATGTATTGTTATTTTCCGTCATTGCTGCCCTGGAAAAATAAATCCAACTGTGGCCCTTCCCTCCCTGGCTCAGGCTCTGGGAACTAACAACAACGGAAACAGCAAGAAGGGAGCAGCTAACAGCTATAGCACACTCAGTGCCCGGCCCCCACTAAGTGCATTTAATATACACATATCAACTCCTTTAATCCTCAGTTATTACTTCTGAAAGGACCCGCTGCAAACAGAGGTTAGGCAACTTGCCTAAGGTCACACAGATGGTTCGTAGTAAGATCTCTCAGGAAACTTTTAAATCCCAGGTGTCCCAAAGGTTTTCCCAAACTGCTGGAAACCTATCATCGCCTTATTGATAGAAAGATGTAAAAGCCTGGTCAACCTTGAAGCTCTGAAAGGTCAGAGTCAACCACTCCCTATATAATTGAGACAATGGTAACTGAGGCAACTTCCCCATCTTGTAATCATGTAAATCCTTACTGATATGATAATCCGATTACTACCTGCCTAAGGGCTTTAGGTGTATCCCGAACTTGCTTAAGGGTAATGGGTGTTCGCCCACCTTTTCAATAAAAGGGAAAGCAAGGCCAGAGCCTAGGTTAGTCCTCCCACTAGAGGTGGGCTCCCGCCTGGCCCCCCATTTCACCAAATTAAATTTCTTCTAGTCTCTCTTCAATTCGCATGCGGCCCTTCTCCAGAACCCAAACCCTGAAACGGAACCCTGAACCACGAGGGACGTGAAAGGGGTTTCCATACCAAACCCCCTGAAGCTGGGAGTTGAAAGATTGTGGGCAGGCCCAAGAGGCATGCAATGCAGCTAACAGGACCCTGCAGGTTGGGCGAAAAACCAGGGAGGTGTTTGTGCCAAGCCTTAAGCTTCCTTTGTGCAGGCCCAGCAGGGAAAGAAAAGCAAGAAGGGGAGGCCCCACGTTTAGAAGTCCTCCCAACTTGCACTGGTTGTTTGAGATGCTGTCAGCACTTCATCTGCACAGAGCTTTGGGGTTAATGGTGAACCAAAGCTAACAAAATCAAACAAAAATACAACAAGGCTAGAAGGAAGACTGACTAAACAGTGCACAGAGGGACGCATGAGCAGGGACAGACTCCTGATAAGATGTCTAGGTTATCAGGTCACCGATTCATGCAAACATTCTACTTCCAAGGTCACCTCTGCTTTGATGGGATAGAGACCCCTCCATTGGTCCCTCAGAAGCACAGGGGGTTACCTGAAGCAGGGAGGCGTGTTGTACAGGGAGTTGTTTCCGGCCTGCACTTTGTACTCCAGGACCGAGGGGCACTCTCGGAGGGCGAACCCCAGCAGGTCATCGCGGATGATCACCACCGTGACTCCCGCCGAGCCGACATTCTTCTGCGCACCAGCAAAGATCACCCCAAACTGGAAACGAGAAACACACACCACTGTAGGCGTACGTGGTCATCTTTCTGAAATGTATCTAAACTTCCCAAACTCTTTGCCAAGTGTGATTTCCATGAGGGGTTGCCTGCTGTATTCCTGTTCAGAGTGTATTCTCTTCTCTAAGGTATCTCCATCTCAGACACTTCTGAGCTCTGAGGCCTACAGTATGTCCTGCCCGGTCCTTCTCCCCCAGTAAGGGGCTAGCTCTAGGCCCGCACGATAAAGACCTTATACATACTCATCTTCACCCTGCATCCTTTCTATCTACACCCACGCTAGTCTTTAAAACAGGGAGGCTAACTGTCCTGGGTAACCAAAAACACCAGAATTTTTACCCATTTATATTTGTATAAAGGGACCATCAGAAGAATGCTGATAAATGAGAGAAGCTGACTGAGAGAGAAGACATTTTAGAAAACAGATCTTAAAAGTTTCTTCCAGAAATCTTGTCATACTAGAGGCCCGATGCACAAAATTCGATCAAGGGGCAAGGTCCTCGCAGCCCCACAACTGGCTCAGGCTTTTTTGGAAGGTTGTCTGGACCGTCGTTCTGCTATTTAGTCTAATTATCATATTAGCTCTTTATTCTATGGGATAAGATACAGAATCCTCTCCCATGTGTCCCCGTGGTGGTGTCCCAGGTGGGAAGAGGGAGCAGTCTGGCCCGGTAGGCGGAGTATTTTATACTTGATATTGTTTAGAATTGTCAGTGCACAGTGACTGGTAATACATACCAGGCTATAACCAAAATGTGGTATATGCATACAATGGAATATTATGCAGCCTTAAGAAGGAATGAAGTTGGCAAGTGCTACCACAAGGATGAACCTCAAGGGCAACCTGCTAAACGAAGTAAACCAGATACAAAAGGCCAAATATTGCATACTTCCACTTAGGTGAGGTGGCTAGAGTGGTCACATTCATAGACAGAAAGTACAAATGGTGGTTACCAGGGGCTAGAGGAGCAAGTACTGAGGAGTTAATGTTTAATGGGCACTGGGTTTCCGTACAGGAAGAGGACAAGCTCTGAAGATGGATGGTGGTGATGATTACACAACACTGTGAATATACTGACTGCCACTGAACTGCACTGAAAATGGTTAAAATGACAAATTTTATGTTAAGCATATTTTACCACAATTTTTTTTAAAAAAGGCAGACTTTCTTAGTCAGTTTGTTTTCCATTCTTCACAGATATTATATCACCTTGTTATAGGCACCTGGGTGGGTACACTACTCCTCCTGCCCACCTTCGTTTGGCACCAAAAGTACTGATGCTCTTGGCGCTGAGGTGGGTACAAGGCGGGGCGGGGCCTCCTTCACAGGCACCCTGAGCTGGGATAAATAATCTGCATCTTTCCTCGAAGACAGCACACCACTCCCAATGCGTTGACCAAAAAGGTTTCTAAGAGCCACTCTCAAAGGCAGATACATTCCCCATGAACTCGAGTGTGACCCTGGGAGGCCTTCCTTCACACGGGGCTGGGAATGTCAGGACTTGAGCATCTGACAGTCTATAATGAACACGTGATACTGGCCTGCTCCCTGAGCTACCCTGGCTCCAGGGTCTCTGCAGGCCGCGGCTCCCCACCCTCTCCCCGTTCTAGTATCTGTGAAGACGCCCTTAAAGAAACCGCGACGCCGGGGTCCCCTCTTTTACACTCTACCTTGGAAACGTCCACCGGCCTGGATAAGAAGTTTGAGGACATGTCGCAAACCAGCACGGCTCCCTTCACATCGGGGACAAAGTCAAACTCCACGCCGTGCACGGTCTCGTTGGCGCAGTAATACACGTACGAGGCTTCCGGGCTGAGAGTCCAGGTGCTTGGGTCTGCGATCTCTATCACAGAAGACAAGGTAGAGACACGTGTACCGCCCTTTCCTTATAAGAGCCAGATCTATCTCGCATTATTATCATCACCCACATGCTAAAAGGATGGTCCATCTCACCCTGCTGACGATTCAATCTCCAGTTATGGCGGAATGAGTACTTGGGGTTTTTGCTCGTCATCCTATTGGGTGGTCCAACAGTTCCCCCCGTGGGGCTTCAGCCTCCCCCATTCTCAGTCCATAGGATTCCAGGGAACCAGTTCCACCTGAAGCCTCAAAAGTAGCATGGGGCCCAGGTGCTGTCACATGACTAGTTAGGAATGGGACCCAGGAGACACGAGGCGGTCACTGGAATGTCTGAGCACAAGCACTAAAACTTGGGAGAACATAAGGTCAGCAGAGGCCGCAGCCATCTTCTGAGCCCAAGGGGACAGCTTTCCTGAATGTGGGGTCACCAATGAGGACACAGTGAGATACTGAGGACCTGGACATAGTGTTGGCGCCTTTGATCAAACCAGACCCTGGGCTGCTCAGCCAAATGAGCTTAGGGATGCTCTTGCTGCAGGAGTACTTAGTAACCTCACTAGTACAGCCACCCTGCTATCTAAATACTAACTACTGACTAGGAGGAACAACAAAAAAAAAACCCACACAATTGCCGAAACCGGTTTGGCTCAGTGGATAGAGCATCGGCCTGCGGACTGAAAGGTCCCAGGTTCGATTCCGGTGAAGGGCATGTACCTTGGTTGCGGGCGTATCCCCAGTGGAGGGCATGCAGGAGGCAGCTGGTTGACGTTTCTCTCTCATCAATGTTTCTAACTCTCTATGCCTTTCCCTTCCTCTCTGTAAAAAATCAATAAAATATATTTAAAAAAAGAAAAAAACAAACCCTCACAATTGCAGATTGTCCTAAGGAGGAACCACTCTACAGTCACTACAGTCCACCTCAGCTCCCAGCACTTACTTGTATAACTCCCAAGTTTAGGGTGGACGATGTTCACAGTCCCAAACTTTTTGGCTTCTTCTGCAGCTTTCGCTGACCAAGCTCCTGTCACCACGTAGTCAGCACACCTTGCTGCTTTCAGTCCAATCAGGTTTAAAGGGACAGCACTGAACTGGCCAGACCCACCTCCTTGCACAAAAATCACCTTGTAGTTGTCTGGAACAGCTCTGGGCAAAAGCACAGGAGACAGTAACTAGACTCACAGGGTCAAAAGATGGAGCATGAGTGATGCTCTGTCAGCACTGGTGCTTGGGTGGATATACCACAAGAAATATGGCAAAGCCCCACCACCACTTTGCCTTCCCCGATCCAGTCACTATCTGTTCACTCCTTGGACAACTGTTGGTTGGCCCTGTGGTGGCAGCCTATGGTCATTGTTCAGACAGAAACTAGTAATAGCCAGCTGCTCCCTTGGGATATCATCCCACTGTCATTCTCAGTCCACATGGTTAAAAGGGTAAACAACCCCAGCTCCAGGGGATGAGCATGTGACACAAGATGGCCAATGGGTTTGGTTCTGAGAGCTTTGATCAAACTTTTGGGAAAGAAGAGCTATTCCTATTGAGAGGAAGAATGAATGTGTAGGAACTAACCCTGCAGTCAATGGTGGCCATCTGATGAAGCTAGCTCATAAGCAGCAGGGCCAGGAGATGGAGGAAAAGATCTTCCTGATATCAACAGAGCTCCTAAATCACTCCTGGACTTGCCTATCATGTGAGATATATTCTTTTTTGTTTGCTTGTTTTTCAAATATAAGCAGGAGTTTATTTAGAATGTCACAGAGGTAGAAAGAATGAGCCAGTGGGGCTGCGTGGGCTCAGGAAACAAGTTACAGAGGCAAAAGAAGGGCCCTTGAAGCTTAGGAGAAAGCAAAGGTAACCTGCTTGGGGGAAAGTGAGGTGGGTAAGGGCATGGGAGAGGGAGAAAGGAAAAGAGGGAGAGACCCATATATTCCTTTTTTTTGGGGGGGTGGGGGGGGTAAAGGGGGAAGATAAGCCAGGAGTTGGGTTTCTGTCCTTTGCAACCAAAAATCCTAAAAATATTCATGTGCTGGTCCATGCTATGAACCAAGTGGACACTGGAAATCCTTCTGAAGCATTTATCAAGGCAATTTAGAAGGAAAGTAATGAAACAGTACAATTCCAATTAACAATGATTATTATTCCATTAACAATGATTATTCCTGACTAGTGGGGTTATAGACAAGACCAGTTTAATTTCTGAGTTGATTTTTTCTAAAGTTTCTATCTTGAACATGTACTAGAGTTTTGTGAGCAGGAAAAAAATAAATGTGCATTTCCAAGGTTACCATATTCTTTTATGTGTATATGTTGATAGTACAAAACCTCTCCTTTAAACAGAAATGTGCTTAAGAATAAAAGTTTCCTCTGGATAAGAAAAGCAGTACAGCCCTGGCCGGTTGCTCAGTGGTTAATGTCAGCCCATGGACAGAAGGGTCTCGGGTTTGATTCCTGGTCAAGGGCATGTACTTGGATTGCAGGTTCGCTCCCTGTCCCCTCCTGGTCGGGGCACTTTCAGGAAGCAACCAGTAGGTAGGATGTGTCTCTCTCACATCCAATTGTTTTTTGTTGTTTTTATCTCCCACTCCCCGCTCCCTCCCACTCTCTCTGAAAGCAATGGGAAGAATATCCTCAGGGGATGATTACCAAAATAAAAAAGAAAAAAAAGAAAAGCAGTACAGGTAACCTAGAGGGGGTTCACTAGCATGGCATTTTCTGGAGTTAACCCAAAGAGCCTGTTAAAATGAAGTTTCTACAGAGATTTTGACAGCAGTTCAGGATGGGGCCCAGCATTTAAACTTTTTAATACACCCCCTCCCTTTCTCCCCACTCCCCCCCTCCCGGTAATTCTGATAGGCAATATGAGGATCAGACTGCCAGACTCAGTGACCTACAAGTGAGTAATGCTGATAAGACAACCAAATATCTCTTTGTCATTTAAATCCCTTTTAGGCCAGCTGAACTTCTAGAAAAATCTTTCCCAGATATGACTATTTCAAATCTTTGGAAATAACTATGTAACATAAACACACACAAAAGTGCAAGATGGGGAACAATTTAATGGCTTTGGAAACATCTTAATAAGACTAGTTTTACTTATAGAATATTCTAAGCAGTAGGAAATAGTGTACAGACATCCAGGTACATATGTTATCAAACAAAAATAATGCAGTTTGGTCTTAAAACTTTAAACTTACAGCAATTCCCGCACAAGATTCTCTGTGTTGTTAAGAATCTTAGCAAAATCTGCTGACCGGTGGCTCATTTCTGTGGAAGGAAAGATAAAATAACAAAACCGCAAAATAAGTTCCAGTTCAACACCAAATGAACACAAGTAACTTCAGAAAGAAGGGCAAGATTTGCCAAGTAAAAGAATAAGTAGGAATTTCAGTTATTTTGCATTCAATTTCATTTAGGGGAAAACCTAAATGATTTCCATATTGCCAAGCACTGCAGCCTCCTATCACAGCAAAATGGCTTTCAAGTGGCAGCTTCAATCTGTGATTTCTCACCTTTAACATGAACAGAAACCTGTGTGCAATGTTTGCCCTCCAGGAAAATAGCACAAAATTCTACACTACACTCTCACCTCATAGATACCTAACTACATGTCCCAAAACCCACAGGAACAATAGTTAATAGCAATGAGCATACTGATAACCCTATGGTCTCTTAATACTGTATAGCCTTTGAAACTATACAAGGAAAATAAATAAATAAAAATAAAGTAAATTTTAGAACTCAAAGGTTCTCTTCTCCAATAGAAGAGAATCTTAATAAAATCAACAGGAAAGACCTTCATAAGAACCTTGTATACTTTTAAACTTTTAATCAAGCTCATTTCTAAGTGTAGGAAAAACAAAATGAACGTGAAGTAATATTATAAATATTTGGGACATGGGTATGCAAATGTACTCCGGGTCTCAGACTCTATGACTAGCAAAACCATAGCTAAGATGTACGAGATCTCACCAGCATTTGTTTATGTTGTTTTCAAAACTGCTTCCATCAAACACGTAACTCAAGGGAAATAAATCTTACCGAGAACACTAATCCCAAGGCCTTTGTAGTCTAATAATTCTTTTTGTATCTCTAACAATACCTAGAAGAAAACATAAAAGAAAGTAGGTGATTTGAATATTCTGTGCACAGCTCTCCCGCTGGACACACAAACCAGGGGTGGGGAAGGGCATAGAAGGGGAGCTGCCCATAGGCCTGTGAGATCTGGAGGCTACGGTCCCCACCCACGGCCGCTTCCCTTCTTCCCACAGAGCCCAGAAGACACCATTTCCCCAGAAGCTGAGTGTGAAATTACCAAATGTGATTGATGCTATGATAGTTTTTCCAAAGGTTTAAATTAACTTAGACATAAAAAATAAATGGGAGCCCTTGCTGGTTTGACTCAGCGGATAAAGCCTGTGGACCAAAGGGTCCAGGGTTGGATTCCGGTCAAGGGCACATGCACGGGTTGCAAGCTTGATCCCCAGCAGAGGATTCTCTCTCATCATTGATGTTTCTAACTCCCCCCTCTTCTTTCCTCTCTGAAGTCAATACAAATATTTTTTAAAAATTGAATTTAAAAGAAAATGACCAAGTATACAATTTTTCTGATGACAACTTAGTATGCCCTGGCGAGCCCCTTGACTATGTTGTAGGATCATCACCCTCGTCAGTCTCACAGGGGCCATAGGGCAATCAGGACCCAGTTTAGGACCCATCTCAGTGCCAGGAAATGGGAAGGAGGGGATTACAAGGGCTGCAACCAAATCTCTCCTAAATCTCTCCCTAGCTGGGGAGGATACCCTACAGGCAAGTAAAATGAAAATAACTACAAACCGATAAGGAAAATACCTCTTTTTATTTTTATTTTTTAAACAGTAAGCCCTTATCAGAGATGCATGCTGATAAGCTTATAAACTAAATAACTGATATCTCCATTGGAGGAGGGGAGAAAGGTGTGTGTGTGTGTGTGTGTATTTAAGAGTGGAGCGGGAGCGGGGGAAGGGAAGGAGAAGGGGGTGGCTGAAACAAGATTGGAAAAATGTCCATAGTTGTTCAATATCAGAGATGGACCAATGGCTTCTCTACTTCCTTGTATGTGAGAACTACCACAAAGTCAAAAGAGGAAAAAGTTCGAAAAACAGGTGAGGTAAGACCTCTATAGAAGCGTCCAGCCTTCAGAGATGGTTTCTTTTCACAATACAGGCTAAGGAGGACATAAAACCATACAAACTGGATTTCAACTTGTCTGAAGAAACAAGATTTGAACGGCAAAGAATCAGACAAAAAAGATTCCATTGAAAAGGAGGTTCAAGAATTTGTCATTGTTTTGCAAACTGTTGGGTGCTTATTAGCACTGGCTAATCAAATAAACGTCAGTAAACAGAAACACCAATCTGAGATAGAATCATCTCTGAACTTCTGTTTGAAACTATTTCTCTTATAGGCAGTAAGTATTCTTGGAAGACGCCTATAAGTTTGTATCGAAAATCATTACAAAAGAGTTTTAAGACTTCTACCCATAAAGCACAGCCCCTTTAATCCAGTGGAGTTCAGTTTTTTCAAACTGCAGAATGCTTTTGTGGGTCACAACGAATTTTTTTTTTTAATGAAACTGAAGACTAGAGTGGAATAGAATACAAACTGTGCATGTCATAGCTAACTAGGCTATTTCTTAAGGCTTTTGTTTTAGTTATAGTACATACATAAGTATTGGTCATTTTATAAAAAGGTTTCCATTGTGATTAGAGTCAAAGTTTTAAAAGCTTCTCTAATTCTATTAATTCAATTAAATCAAGTCACATACAAAGCCAACATCTGCCCCCATCCCTACCCCCACCCCCAGGTTAAAAGGCTCATCTGAGGGCTAAAAATCCTCCCCAGCCCTAGCTGGTTTGGCTCAATGGATAGTGTCTGCCTGAGGACTGAAGGATCCCAGGTTGGATTCTGGCCAAGGACACATGTCTGGGTTGCAGGATTGGTCCCCAGTAGGAGGCGTGCAGGAGGCAGCCAATCAATGATTCTCATCATTGATGTTTCTTTTTTTCTTTTTTCTTTTTAAATATATTTTATTGATTTTTTTACAGAGAGGAAGAGAGAGGGATAGAGAGTTAGAAACATTGATGAGAGAGAATCATCGATCAGCTGCCTCTTGCACACCACTCACTGGGGATGTGCCCGCAACCAAGGTACATGTCCTTGACCTTCAGAATCGAACCCGGGACCTTTCAGTCCGGCAGGTCGACGCTCTATCCACTGAGCCAAACCGGTTTCAGCTCATCATTGAAGTTTCTATTTCTCTTTCCTTCTTCTGTCTTCTCTAAAATCAATAAAAATATATTTTAAAAAACCCTCCCCAGAAATAAGTAAACAAACAATTGTATTAATGATGACAACTGCCATTATAATAAATGGCAGTTTATTATAATAAGAAACCAATTTCATAGGGAGCAATACTGAATCCAAAAGATGAAGAGGGGGAAACGGTGAGGAGGCCTCCTACAGGCAACATTTCCACAGCTCTGGCAAAGAATCTGGCCTAAAACCAACTACAATGGCTGAGAGAGAAAAATAAGTCCTGTTCTCTAGCTACTGTGAGCGCTGCCCATAGAAAAGTTAAGATGTCCTTTCCCACCGAAAACTGTAAGATTCTCTGTTCTTACAACACAGAGGCAGCTCTGTCCCAGGGAGATTTCCACCCTGTCCAACAAAAGATAATTGTAACGTACTTTGGCGGCGCCGCATGTTGCTACAACATATTATCAGTCATTTTGGTTGAAAATAAAAATCTAACAGTAGCGGTACAGACTGTCCACGAGTTCAAGTCACAACAGAGACTTCGCCTGCTTCACAGCTGCTATGGGTTGGGAGGGGAGATGGGGGGGGGGGGGTGCAGCAGCCACCTGGCACCTGGCAGGGCCTTGGGCAGGCAGAGAGAGAGAGAGAGAGAGAGAGAGAGAGAGAGAGAGAGAGAGAGAGTCAGCCACTTGCATTTGACAAGTCTGCAGGGGCCCAGGGAGAATTTAATCATTCATCACTTGCTCCAGAACGAAGTGAAGCGGCCTGGGCTAGCAGCCAGAGGCCTACCAGAGTATGAATACTCTAATGCCTTTGGGCTTTGGGGGGCGGAGGGGGTCTATACGATTTTTTAAATCTACGAGAGAAAAAAAAAAAAAAAAAAAGGCGGACCACGCGGTCCTCTGGTTTTGCAATCCCCATTCGCCATTCATTCACACGGCGCCCAAGCATGCATTCACTCCGCACCGCCGGGCTCGCTGCACCGCCCCGCGAGGCTAACGCTGGACAAGAGGCTTCTCTTCGCCGCCGTGCCCACGCCGGGCCTGAGTCTGCAGGAGTCCCCAGGTGTGCACCACGGCGTGCCAACAACGCTCCGGCGGGGCAGACCGTGCACGCCTCGGAGCAGCTGCACCGGCATGCCTCCCGAGCTCCCTCCCCCGCAAATGTGTTTTTCCAGAAGCCCACGTGCGGAGGATCCTGAACCGGGTGCACGCTGGTGCAGAGCGTCCGCGGGACTCCGAGCGGGAAAGGGGATCCCAGCGCCCCACGAGGAGACAGATGCACAGCTCCCCGCGCAGGATGATGCTCCGCCACTCGCACGCGTGCTCACGGCCGGACTGCGCCTTCCGTGCGCGATCGCTAGGACTTACCGAGCGCGGCAGCTTGGCGGGCCCGGGCCCGAAATTGACCACTTTTCTTGGGGCGTCCATGGTGCTGCGTGGCACGCGTGGCGAGTTAGCAGGAGAGAACTGGCTGCACAGGCTGCGCGAGTCTGTCGCTGGCGCGGACCCTCGGCCTCTTTCCAGAGCCAAGCCGGCGTCCCCGATTGGCCCGCGCCGTAACAGGCCCTGCTCTGATTGGTCCTCTCCATGAGGCTTGCATCCCATTGGTGGCGCTCGCTAGCGGGGGCCGGAAACCGTAGCTCCCCCTCGGGTTTACTGTTTCAGCCTTTTCTTTGATCTATGCAAGGCGTGCGGGCGATTGCACCAGCCTGCAGGCTCCCGAGCGCCCCCGCAGGAGGCCGGTGGGCGGAGGGAAGGACGCGCATTCACGCTTCTGCGCCTGGAATCCGACCAATTCCAGTCCTCGGGCCCTGATCCCAGACTCTCTCTCTTGCCCTGAAGGGGAGATGCAGAGTAAATCTCAACCCCTCCTCCCATCCAACCATCTATGCTCCGCCTCTAGCCCCTGGGCGCTGATGCATTTGTTTCGCAACCAGCAGCCATTCATTCCCCAAACTTTTCTAAGCATACTCAGGGCGCCAGACACTCCAGTGGACCGGCAGGGCTCCCAAGGATAGAGTTGTCCGGCAATAAAGAATTGGCCCAGCCAAAACCGGTTTGGCTCAGTGGTAGAGCATCGGTCTGCGGACTGAAAGGTCCTGGGTTCGATTCCGGTCAAGGGCATGTACCTTGGTTGCCGGCACATCCCCGGTGGGGGGTGTGCAAGAGGCAGCTGGTCGATGTTTCTCTCTCATCTACATTTCTAGCTCTCTATCTCTCTCCCTTCCTCTCTGTAAAAAATCAATAAAATATATTTTAAAAAAATTGGCCCAGAGTGGATGGATGGGTGAGGTTCTTTGCACGGACATTGGAGTCCCAAGTTCCTGCTGGATTAAAGGATGGAGGTAGCTAAGGATTCTGGGAAGATCCCTGGCCTGGGAAACCTGGGTGCCCCCTCAACCCTCACCACCCAGGCAAGTCCTTAAAAGTTGCTGGTTCTTCATTTCCTTTTGTGAAACCAGCGAGCTGGAACCTGGCAGTAGCTCTCAGGTTCTCCAGCGCTGACAAGCTGTGAGTTTAGAAACGTGAGAAGATATTAACAGGAACGCGATATTCTTGTGGGGAGCTGCAGCCTAAGCCAGGCAGAGGCCCAGAGCCAGGCCGGGCGCAGGGCCAGCAAATGCTCAAACGTTTCTACAATGGAGTCCTGCTCCAGTTCCCGTGGAGATCCACATGGGGTTCTGAAACAGAGAGGCTCCCTCTCCTGCAAAGGAAGAAGTTTCTCTGAATTCTAGAATTTCATCATTTTTAAAAGTGTGAACTAGGAGTTCTACTCCATGATTTAACCTACTTTCTTTTAATATAAAAAATATATTTTCCCAAATCTTTGAGCAAAATTGATGTGCCAGGAATACACACAGTGCCTGTCTTGGGGCTTTCGGGAACACTGGCCACGCTGTCAACTGCCCCTTTCAGAAGGTTGTAAACGGTCAGGGTTTTGGCTTTTGTTGCTTTCGATGGTATGCAGTAGGCAGGATGGGGATGGGAACAAAGGTACTGCTGTGGGAGCTGGAGGGCAAAGTTTCTAGAAAGAGCTGAAATGAACAAGGCCAGTGCCTTCCTCAGCACCTTCACTTAGCAAGTTGCAAAATTTCATGAGAAGTGTTAAAATTCAACTGAGTAAATTTGAAGATCTAATTGATTTTTTTAAAACAATTCATGAATCTAGGCACCACGGACCTGGTGCCAACAAACAAACACTCAGCTTCCCTCAAGCAGGGGTCCTCAAACTTTTTAAAGTGGGGGCCAGATCACGGTCCCTCAGAGAGCTGGAGGGCCGGACTATATGAACTACTAATTCCTACTGTAACACCTCGGCTGCGCTCACTGCCCAAAAAACCTGGCGGGCCGGATCAGACTCCTCTGCGGGCCGCATGTAGCCCGAGGGCCGTAGTTTGAAGACGCCTGCAGAGGGACACAGGCCCCGCCACCATCCCGGAGCAACACCCCACCAAATCGCTGCCAAGAACCCATGGAGCAAAATGTGGCCCGCAGCTCAGCCCAGCATGAGACCGGTTGCTGTGGGAACTAGGTAATGATGTCATGTAGCAATGCCCTTCTTCCTTTCCCTAGCAACTAGCCTCCTTGGAGTTTCTTCAGCCCAGGAACCTGATTTGCTTTTCAGCCAGGTGCAAACATTTTACAGTTTCACCAAATGTTTGTGAAGCGTTTTCATGTGCCTTATCTCATTCTATCCTGGAGTAGGTAGATAGGAGACTCAGTAGAAATCTATTTTCTTTTCATTAGCCGAAAAACAAAGATTTAGAAAGTTTAGAAACTTGACCCAACTGAAAACAAGTAAGAAATGGTGTACCTTGAAAATGACTTCAGGTTTTCTCACTGCTCAGAATATAGTCAAACACTGCTGCAGTTAAATATTTTACCCTTTATTCTCCCTGTATAATCTACAATAATAATCTGCTTTGTGTTGATACTTACTCCTGTGTTGCTGACAATTACCTGAAAGATAAGTTGGGGTGCTTCACTGGGCTGGGAAAAGTTAAGCTACATCAGAAAGCAGATCTAATTAAGCAAGTTTATTCTATATCTATAAAAGGCTAAGTTGACTCGTGCATGCGCGATACATATAAAGCTCTCACTGGCACCAAGTGCACACATGTGTTTCAATCTATCATTGTTGATTGTGAATTTGGTTGACACTTCTATTATAGAGAAATAGCAAATAGCAATATTAAAATATTTATTCTAATTAACTTCCTTTCAATGTGCACAAATCAATGCACTGGGTCACTAGTTTAAAATGACTCATGAGGAGAGGGCATGTATGGGGGGGAGGGACAATGGAAAGATATGTACACATATAATACCTTAATAAAAATAAAATGACTCATGGGCTCACAAGACCCTACCTGACCTGGTCCTTAGTCACCTCTTGGCTAAGTCCTTGACTTATCCAATCTCCAAACTGTCCCTTCAGTCCCAGGGCCCTTTCAAGCTCTTTTCTTCCCCAGCATTCTCTTCCTCCAGCCTCCTCAAAGCTGGCTCTGTCCAATCCTTGGTCGACAGTTTAGACACCACCTCCTGACCACCTTATCAAAAGTACCCCTTGCCAATCCTCCAGTTCTTCATCATATTTCCTAGGCCATTTCCTTCATAACCATCCAGTCTCTGAAATACTGGTGTACTTGTTAATTTTCCACCCTAAAATGCACTTTCCTGGGAGCTGAGACTATGCTAGCCTTGTTCAGGACTACACGCATGGTTCAGGCATGGTGTGCGCTTGATATTTTGGGAGTAAATGTACAGGACAGGAAGAAGGAAATAGTGGGCAGGGCTGACAGTCTTTGTTGCTATGAGAAAGAAATTGTGGGCATCTATTATTTCTCCAGAATTTTCTAAAGTGAACATCGGAAACTTAATAATCATCTTTGTAAAAGTTGGGTGTTTTTTTTTTTTTTAAGAGTGGGGTGAGGGTAGGTATAAACCACCAAGCAACTCTGGAGAGCCTCTGCGGAGGCCAAATGACTGTTGCTGTCTCCAGTACTAACATGTTACTATGCAATTAGAATTCTAGGTCAGAGTTTTCACTGTCGAGTGAGGCTGCATAGAAAGATCACTGAATCACTTCTATCCAATCAACACCAGATTCGTTCACTCTTTTCTGACTTTGCACAACTACCCAAATTTCACAGCAGGCCTTGGCAAGTTGCAGGTTGTTGAAGGTGTGTTTTGCAGGAGAAGAAGAAGAAGAGGTGGTGGAGAAGCAGGGCTGGGCAGTAGTACACATTTGTTTCTCAAACTCACAGAGCTGGAAGGAATCTTGAAATCATCTACCCCAGCGTTTTTCAACCGCTGTTCTGTGGCACACTAGTGTGCCGCGAGATGTTGCCTGGTGTGCCGTAGGTGCAGACAAGACAAGAATTTTATAATTTTTCACTATTTTGTTTACTTAATATTTCATAATAAAGTAATTATAAAATACTTTCTTTGTGTTTATTTGATTCCTATTCAAGAGAATTACTTTATATATAGTCAATATAGGCACAGAGTTAAATTTTTTAACATTTTCTAATGGTGGTGTGCCTCGTGATTTTTTTCATGAAACAAGTGTGCCTTTGCCCAAAAAAGGTTGAAAAACACTGATCTACCCACACGTTCTGAGAGGCAACCTCTCTCAGCATTGTCCCGGGACAATGGGAAGGAAAATTACATTCTCCTATAAATCATCCCAAAGCTATTCCCAGATGAGTGCATAGGGCCTGGGGTGGAAACTTGCCGAACTGGGGAATGATGAAAGAATAATCATCATCTTTATACTGATACCATCTATACCTCTAACTTGTAATGCCAAAACCTCTTAGGTAGCATCTCATGACGTGGTGCCCAGGCTGGTCCCAAGAGTCTTAAATCTCTAGAGTGAAATAAACTTTCTTGGGTAACTAAAGATAATTAATGAACCCTAACCAGGTATCGTGATGATGTGGAACTCAGGTGTCAACAACTCTGTATGCATTCTGCATTCTAAGGGTATAGTTGAAAGAAAATGACCAAGTGTGCTTATGAAAAATAGAGTGAAAAGCACCTACTTTTTTTCAAACAACATGGGATTATTTTATATATCCAAATATGGTTATTTTCAGTATGGCTTACTTAGGTTTTTGGGAATTTGTTATCAAATGGGAGATCTCAATTTTGGGAGCTCCTTCACTTTCTGATGAGGAAGGTGGCCCTTGGAGGTAAAGGGATAATGCCGGCTGGGCCAGTTCTGCCACCAGTGGCTACACAGGTATGTTATCTCCTGCGCCTTGCTGGTATGCTGGTACTTGTTTTCCCGTTCAAGAAGGAAAAGCAGGAATCCAGATGAAGGACTTATCTAAGGTCACCAGGAATGTGGTCAATCAAACCAAGGAGATTTGGGTTGAAACCAAACCATTGCATTTCTAGTCCAGAGAATGTAACTGTCTAACACACACTTCCCTGCTTTTTAAAAGACTTAAAGACATCCATAAAGTTCATTTAAGAAGGGAGCAAGCTCAGAGAAATACAAGTTAAACCCAGGCAACAGATGAGA